GTTAACCCGCCCACTACTCCAATCATTTTGCGTTTCCTAGACCAGAAATTACAATCCAATTTCCTTTAATGACTTTGAATATGATTATTGCTTTTGGAGGTATGGTTTAAGGGCCCTGACCCTTTACGACTGTTACTGTGGGGGGGCAGGGCCCAATATATATATATATATTTTTTCATTTTGGTCATGAAAAATTGTTTTATACAATGCTACATGTAAAAATTGAACAAGGGATGCTCAGGCCCTAACACGATGCACAACTTGCTATGTTTGAACTGCATCAAGAACTGGATTCACTAAACCTTCACACGAGAAATCTCCCACACTATATATAACACACACACACACCAAAAATAAAAAAACAATTCCAAGATCCCGAAGAACAACAAAATCATCAAACCCATCACCCATCTAAAAATGACCTAATGAATAGCGGTACTATGACCTTATGACCTCATTGACTTCCTGGCTTCGCCCTCCCAGGACCCGAGGGGCTGAAAACTCCCAGGTAGGCCGCGAAGGAGCAAGCGACCAACGAGGTGCCGGGGATGAAAACCAACTCCTGCGGGGCTTGGGATGGGGGGAGGAAGATCTACACTCCCTGGATTGATCATGGGAAGTACGCATGATGGTATGGCCCCTATCGATGAGCATGAAGACCAAACCGGTGGGAGTGTACCGCCGGGAGTGTACAATGGGCCCAAACGGACATGGGAATATTCGGGTGAGTGACCATATGAAGAGGCCGTGCTTGTGCACCAAATCTTCCAAATCTCCGCGCAATACCATCGTTCATTTTGGATCATGCTTCAGGGGCCTCCTTGCGGGCCAACACACCGCGAAAAAGGCAGGCAGAATTTTAGTTATGGTCTGGTCATGGATTGTCTGGACCACTATGTAAGCACGATATTCTATCTGTGGGTCTGGATGGAATACACCAAATCAAACAAATAGAATTTGTGGCATGTATGTTCATGGTTTGAGGTGTGTACTTTCTATATATGTGATTTTGAACACACGAATAATTCAATCATTTGAAGTACAAACATGACAAGAATCTATCGAATGTTTGGCTTGGGAGAGGAAAAAGTAAGGGTGCAGCTGTCATGTGCAAGAATTGTCAGGTTCAGCTGTTGTATATTCTACCTGGGTGTTTTTTCATATTCTATACTATATTCGTTTTTAAGATTATTGTCTGGAAACCATCCAACTAAATTCTATCTCCAACCATAAGTTTATTTTTTAATATGCTGTCTGCCATCAGTTTACTATAGATTAAAACATATCATATTCATATCCCCCAAAAGTTGAGCGGCATCACATTGAGAGATGTCGCTCATGTGCTGTGTCCTGCCTATTTAGAGTACTGAGTGCAGGGTAACATGTTAGCTCCCTCAAGAACCTTTCTCAAGAACTGCCGGGTTACGTGGGACACACCCTCACCCACCTCAGCCACGGTCAGCGCCTGGCCCCCGTCTGTCCTCACCGGTCCGTTCCACGGTCTGCTCCCAAATCACCCCATTCGCACTCAAGGCGCCCACCAACCTGCCCAAACGGTGTCCACGTGACTCGGTGGTATGGCGAGTCCAACCGCGACCGGAAAAGACCCGACAGCTGAAGGGGGTTGGAGTTCAGGCCATCATGACGTACGGATCTTCGGAGCGAGCTCATCACCTCCAGACCTGTAAGTAGCAGTGTGGCACCGTCTTGTTGTCCCATTGGTGATCCCTTGGCAGCTGGTCCAACATCCTATACCAACCACCTTCGGACCTCCAACATCCTCCAACCACCGTCGTGAGTCCAGAAAAGCTCCGCTCCGGCAATATGCGTCCACGGTATCGATACACTGTCCTAGGTGTGTTCTCAGGCACCATGCTACCTCACTCCCACCATCTGACAGCACGCGAGTTCGTTCAACAGGTCTGTCCTTGAATGTCAAGGGTTTCAATCCATTCACAAGATTCACAGCTGTGGGAACCCTCAGTGTTAACGTGTGATGTGATTTCATGTTATTTCCAATGACCACCAAATAACAGAGGATCATAGATAAACCCTAGCCTTCAAAGACCATTCAAAGACCTGGCTTTGCCCTGCACAAGTCAATGGTTGTTCAGTAAAGGCTACTGAATCAATGGTGGTTCCAATCCTTTAGGGTATATGCTATCATCTTGCTCGAAGTGCCCAGCAAGCGACAGTCTTTCCAGTGGTTTTTCAAGTTCAAATCTAGATCATCAAAACAGGGTGCAGCGAC